AAACTGATTTTTTTTTTTAAAAAAGGATTATATTTTACCTCAGGAAGAAATGATTTACTGAATAAGAAACAAAATGCAAGAATCAAATGAAAAGACTGATAAAGTTGAATAAAAAACTTCTATGTGTCAAAAGGCTATTGATGGAAAAACTAGCCTACAAGAAGTCAAATGATTTATTCAAGATTATATGCTAATAAGTAGTAGAGCCACAATTCAAACATATAGTCTTCTGACTCTAATACTAATTTATTTTGCATTCCTTTTAATTTTTAATTACATAATTAACACATTATATTCTTTCATTAAAATTTGAACACAAAGGAAATAATACCTTTGATCATTTTCCCCAGTTCCAATTTCCAGTATCCTCCCCAGATTTGTACATATACTTTTAGGACTTTTTTCTTGGGTATTTGAATATATAATAAAAATACAAATGCATTTTCAAGTGGTTTTATAGTGTGCTTATTGTTCTGCAACTTTTCTTTTAAAAATCGTGGCTTAAAGAACTTTCCATATCAGTACAGCATTCTACTGTGTGAATATATTAGCATTCATTTATTCAATTTTCTATTAATTGAACTTTAGGCTGTTTTCAGTATTTTGCCCCTTGGTCATATAAATAGGATAGACATCTGAAATGAATTTTCTAAATCATAATGAATATATGTTTTAAATGGTGATAATGCCAAATTGCTTATACTGGTATATATACCTACTACTACAGTATCTAGATATCCATTTCTCAATTATTAATATTTTTCATTCCTGATATTATTATTTTTAATATTTTGCCAGTCTGATGTGGAAAAAATGGGATAATGCGTTTCCCTAGTAATTATTAGAGAGGCCATTTCCTCCTCTCAGCAGTCAAACTCTGCTCTCTAGAGGTAGGAGGCAACCACATTTTCAACTCTTATAATCGTCTTTTCTAGTAGACTTACTCCCATATTTCTAAATATGTTTATATTGCCATTTCTTGATATATTAATTAGACGTTATCTATTGATTTCCTATTAAGAGAGATGAGGATTTAGTACCAGTTCCTATATATTTTGCATGTTTATTATTTGCCTACTATATATGTAAGCAAATATCTTGTCTGTCTCTTATGATTGTCTTGTTATGGTATATTCCTTAAAGCTTTCAGGTTTTATGTCTTGCCCAAGGATGTCCCTACTTCACAGTAAAAACCCATTTCCTATAGTTTCTTCTAAAACTTTCTGAGTTGTGATTTTAACATTTACATATTTTCTCCATCTGGAATTTATTTCTGTGAATGGTGTAAGGTAGGTTACTTTTTTTCAAAATGGTTAGCCAATTGTTCAACACCATTTATTCAATAGTTTATTATGTCCTAAAACATCTTCTCTAAAATATCCAAAAATTACATCAAATGTCTGAACCATTTCTGGAATATCCATTTAGATCTATTGGTCATTTTGTATCCCCTTGTTCCAATATCACAATGTACTACATTTCTTTTTAACAATAGATAAATTATGGAAAGAACCCAAATGTCCATCGACCAGTGAATGAATAAAGATTACACACACACACACACACACAATGGAATATTACTCAGCCAAGAAAAGAATGAGATCTTGCCATTTGCAATGACATGGATGAAACTAGAGAGTATTATAAGTGAAATGTCAGTCAGAGAAAGACAAATACTATATGATTTCACTCACATGTGGAATTTAAGAAACAAAACAGATGAACAGAGGGCGGGGCAGAAAAAAAGAGAGGAAAACCAGAAAACAGATTCTTAACTATAGAGAACAAACTAAGGGTTACTAGAAGGGAGGTGGGTGGGGAATGGGTTAAATGGGTGATGGGTACTAAGGAGGGCACTTGCTGTGATAAGTACTGGGTGTTGTATGTAAGTGATGAATTACTAAATACTATACCTGAAACTAATATTACACTGTTAACTAACTGGAATTTAAATAAAAACTTGAAGAAAAAAAATAATAAAATAAAAAACGTCAAAACATTTTCCCTTTTCAAAATTTATAGTTTCTAATTTTCTTTTTCTTTTTTTTATATACAGCTTATATTACTTTCAGGTGTATACAATATGTATAATTCAACAATTCTATACATTATTCAGTGCTCATCAAGATAAGTGTGTTCTTGATCCCATTTATCTATTTCAATCCTCTCCCCAACCTCCTCCTCTCTGGCAACAAGAGATTTGTTCTCTATAATCAAGAGTCTGGTTTTTTGCTTGTCTCTTTTTCTCTTTGTTCATTTGTTTTGTTTCTTAAATTCCACATATGAGTCAAATCATATGGTATCTGTCTTTCTCTTATTTCACTTATTTCACCCTCCAGATCCATCCATATTGTTGCAAATGACAAGATCTCATTCTTTTTTTTATGGATGAGCAATATTCCATTGTGTATATATACCACATCTTCTTCATCCATTCATCTGTGGATGGACACATGGGTTGCTACTATATGCTGGCTATTGTAAATAATGCTGCAATAAATACAGGAGTGCATATATCTTTTCAAATGGGTGTTTTTGGTTTTTGGATAAATGTCCAATAGTGTGATTATTAGATCATATGGTATTTCCATTTTTTATTTTTTGAGGAGCTTCTATACTATTTTTCACAGGGGCTGTACCAATATGCATTCCCACCAACAGTGCATAAAGCTGGAGGCATCATAATCCCAGAATTCAAGACACACTATGAAGCTGTAGTAAAACAGTATGATACTGGCACAAGAACAGACACATAGATCAATGAACAGAATAGAGAGTCCAGAAATAAACCCATGCTTATATGGTCAATTAATCTATGATAAAGGAGGCAATAATACACAATGGTGAAAAGACAGTCTCTTCAACAAATGGTGCTGGGAAAACTAATTTGACTGTCATTCTTGCCCAGGGGCCATGCTAATTTTCTCTGTATCATTCCAATTTTAGTATATGTGCTGCCAAAGCAAGTGCTGGGAAAACTAAATGGCTACATGCAAAAGAATGAAACTGGACCACTTTCTTACACTATACACAAAAATAAACTCAAAATGGACTAAAGACCTAAATGTGAGACCTGAAACCATAAAACTCTTAGAAGAAAACATAGTAATTTCTTTGACATCAGCTATCGAAATATTTTTCTAGATGTTTCTTCAGGCAAGGAAAACAAAAGCAAAATTAAGCTATTGGTACTACACCAAAATAAAAAGCTTTTGTACAAAGGCACCTGGGTGGCTCAGTCCATTAGTTTCCTTCAGCTCAGGTCATGATCTCATGGGTCATCGGATCCAGCCAGGGTGGGGCTCTGCACTCATCGGGGAGTCTGCTTAAAAGATTCTCTCCCTCTGCCCCTCCTTCCCACTCACACTCATGCTCCCTCTCTCTCAAATAAATAGGTAAATCTTTTTTTTTAAAAAAAAGATTTTATTTATTTGAGAGAAAGAGACAGAGAGCTCGAGCAGGGAGGGGTAGAGAGAGAAGCAGACTCCCCCCTGAGCAGGGAGCCTGACGACATGGGGCTCCATCCCAGGATCCTGGGATTATGACCTGAGCTGAAGGCAGATGCTTAACAGACTGAGCCATCCAGGCGCCCCATAAATAAATAAATCTTAAAAAAAAAAAAAAAGCTTTTGTAAGGTGAATAAAAACATTAACAAAACAAAAAGGCTACCTACTGAAGATATTTGCAAATGATATATCCAATAATGGGTTAATATCCAAAATATATTAAGAACTGATACACCACCAAAAAAAACAAATAATCCAATTAAAAAATGGGCAAAAGACATGAATAGACATTTTTCCAAAGAAGACATATAGATGAAACACACATGAAAAGATGCTCAACATCACTCATAATCAGGGAAATGCAAATCAAAACCATAATGAGATGTCACATTACACCTGTCAGAATGGTTAAAATCAAAAACACAAGAAATAACAAGTGTTGGTGAGGATGTGGAGAAAAACATTTTCTTTTTCTTAAGAATTTTATTTTATTTTTTTAAAGATTTTATTTATTTATTCATGAAAGACAAAGAGAGAGAGAGAGAGACGTAGAGGCAGAGAGAGAAGCAGACTCTCCGAGGAGCAGGAAGCCCGATTCTGGACTTGATCCCAGAACTCTGGGATCATGACCTGAGCCAAAGGCAGACACTTAACTGACTGAGCAACCCAGGCGCCCTTTTCTTAAGAATTTTAGAATCATTTCTTTAAAAATAAGTAAATTCTGATGACACCTGATTGGAGTAACACTGTATTTATGGATCAATTTGAAGAAATCCAGTTTTCTTTCTATTACCATTAGGCAGACTTGACTTTCAGACTCAATATTTATTAGGCAAATTCAGTTTTTATCATTTAAAAATAAAGAAACAAACCTATACTAACTAATTTACTCAGGTGTTTTCTATGGTATTTAGCTAAAAAATAAATTCTTGAAGAGGCCATATTTATGATGAAAGTGATGCTTTAGATCTTTTCATATTATCAACTTTGTTTCCTTATCATCAAAAGAAAATTATGAATAAACAAAATGAATAAGGATTATTTCTGTAACCTCAGAACATTTTCTATATAATTATCTGTTTATAAAATCAAAATTGGCTAATTTATGATTATTTAGTATTGGCCATTTATCATTACTAAAACTGAATATCAGAAGCCAATGATTAATGATATTGATAAACATATTGTTAAGTTCCAGCATAGAATATTTGAAAATTCAAGTTGTTCCACATATTCCATAACTTCCTCAAAATTGTAGAATTAAATACCAACTTTAGCTCTAGGTGAAAATAAAGACTTAATTTGGGACCACTACTAGTGTGAATAATTCATTTATTCATTATTTGCTCATTCATTCATTCAACATTATAATTTTAGAAAACACTGAATGCTTTGAATTGTGCTACAAGTTAGGTACAAAGTAATAGTAAGAAACACCTTCATTCAAAAATGAGGAAAATAAATGCAAGAATAATGGTATTTGTAATACTCACTTTCCCTTCGTCTCTTGGGCTATCACTTAAATGTACAACTGGACCTGGATGAGTCTTTGTGGATCTGTTAAATCAATTCAAAATAGTAATTAAAAAATAGTAATTAAAAAATAAAAATTAAAACACCTTACCATTATAGACTGGAACAAAGAAATTACTCTGGAATACACTCCCAATATTCTCAGGTTTAAACTTAGATTCATTTGAGTCTTGGTTGTTTTTCTTTAAGACCACTTTTCTTTCTCTTATTAACTCTATTAGAGGAAGTGTAATTTTTTTTTTAAAATCAGGTTTAAGGGCATAGATCCACATAACAACAGGATTCTTCATTTCTATAGCATAAAAATTATATACTTGAAGAAATAATATTAATAATGAAAGGGATGCTTTAGATCTTTCACGTTATCAACTTTGTTTCTTCATTATCAAAGAAAAATTATGAATAGTCAAGATGAATTATGTCTTTTCATCAAATTATGAATTTATGCATTGGTATTTATATGTTTGTTGCCAGATCTAAGCCTCTGAAAATTTGAAATTGAACTTATACAGACAAAGAAAACTTACACGGCCACAAAGCTAATACTATAAGCCTGTTTCAGCCAAATTGCAAAGTACGTAACTGACTTACAACTTTCTTTGACATAAAACCTCTGATTTTGCTCCTAAGAAAAGTATAATAGCTCCTTTGATTTACAAAGAAATTCTCTCTAGTGCTACCCAACTTACAGAAAACTGGGGAAACCTAGTTTGCTAGTTATGTCTCATTTATTTGGTTATCCAGGGTAATCAATAACAGCTAACTATGTGTCTAAGTGCATATTGTTAAAAAGACCTGTACTCTGTAAATCTGACTTTAAAAATATTCTACTCTGATATCTGGCATGTTTCTTTTATATTTCCTACTTTGACATATTGTTGAATAGGATTATGTCATGTTTAAATACAATATGGCCTGATATGACCATAGATTTATTATTGGTCATTTTCTACATCTTTTCTTCAACAGTCTAATTATGCCAGATTAATCCTATGATTATATTGACATAGTTTTAATTTATTTCTTTTTAAAATATAATTTATTTCTTATGCATACATGAAAACCGTCAAAGATTCTTCACAAAATAGTAAAGAAGAATACATTTTAAAACTTTTTGGGATCAGATAAAAGTGACAAATTAACTTCAGGTTTCCCAGATACTGACTCCCCACCATGACTCAGAGGAATAAATACAGACTTATTAGATATTTTGTTATCAGTTTTATCCTAAATTTTCTTATCTAAAAATGGAGATAGTAGTACTGATCCTACTCATTACAAGGATTAGAATATTTATATATAGCACCTAATATAATACCAAAACATAGTAAGTACTCAATGAATAGTATGTGTTATGACTGTTGTAATCACTGGAATAATTGGAAACTAGAGTTATTATCTGCATTCTAAATGCAATGTTTTATTAGAGTAAGGTGCCTCTCATAGGGAACAGTGTCCTTCAATTATCCTTTGGAAGCTAATAATATCCAATAACCTACAAATTCCTGTTTCTTGGGTATGATTGGAACAACAAATACCAAAGTATATTCCATGATAAACTAATGAATATATAAGGTATTTCACATAAAGAGTGTTCCATATCAAAAAAGTTTGGGAAACCCTGAATTAAAGTTAAATATTTTTTTCTTCTACAAAGGTTCTTAGAGCCATAATATGCAAGTGAATACTGAAATCTTCAATATTTTCCCAAAGTACTAGCCCATAGAATTATTTCTCATTGACCATATTAAGGGAATCACTGAAATATAATTTGAGAAACACTAGTTAGACCATATGCAAGACTCTTCCATTTAGATTCTCAGAGTTTGTAAAACACTCAAGTTCAGAAAATAATTTGGCATTAAACTTCAATTATTTGTATTGACTTTTTCAGACTATAGAAGATATATTATTTCTTGTAAAAAAAATTCCAAACTTAGAAGATACTAATAGTCAAAAGAAAAAAATCTCTCATATTATTTTACTGCCTGAAGATAATGACTACTAACATTTGGATACATTTTTTCTAACTTTTCCCCTGACATTATACTTCCAAAAACCATCAAACATTCCTTGAAAGACTTATGGCCATCAGAAATTGACTTAAAAAATAAAAAAGCATTGGTGTACACTCTGGATTCTGTAATTCCTACAAAAATTACTTTAGATAGAATTATCAATGAAATTAAAATCATATAATATCCATCTAAATAATACCCAATAATTCTTCTAGTTATCCCTATTTATCTCTCTTCCTCTCATTTACCATCATGGCTTCTTTAGTTTCTTTTATGGGCCTTCTTTCTCTTCCTATATCTTAAATATTGATATTCCTTTGTATTCCATCCTGGTCTGTCATCTATTCTCATATAATATACGGTCATGAATTCAAGAGCACACAGGAGCCAGGCAGGTATTGCAAATGAAGCAAACAGGCTGAATGAGAACTGTACCAAACTGGATAGCACATTATCCACCTACAGAAGGAAGGTTGTTACTCAGTTCCAGCTGATTACTGACTGCCAGGCAAGAATACCGAACTAGAATTGTCTCATTATGAATTTTCATGAAAATCTGGAAATCCAAATTTTTATTTCTACTTGCCAATTTTCAAATATTAGAATTCAGAACATATTTAAATACTCTGATAGCCAAACAAAACAGATATCTGTGAGTCAGAATTGGTTGACTGTCTGCTAGGTTGCTACCTGTTTTCTATACACTCTTCATGCACAATCTCATCTTTTCAATGATCATAAATTCTTGTTTTTTTAACTGTTCAAATTCTTATGTTTTTTCTTTTATTTATTTATTTATTATGTTAATCACCATACTCTATCTCATTACCTTCAGATCCATATATCCCACTTCCTACCATTTTCCCATACCGATTCCATTTGAATGTCTTATAAACAGTACAACTCAACCTACCTAAAATTGAGTTCATTACTTTTTTTCTCAACCTACTCAATCTCCTGCTTTCTTTCACTAAATGACACCCTTATCTACATAGTTGCTCAAGCTCTAACAACTGGGGGTCACTCTTAATTCTTCTCTATTGTTATATTTTCCCATAATACCCAAGTCTTGCCTCTTCTATCTTCTATGTATTTAATTATGTCAGCTTATCTCCACTCCTATATCAATGATAATGTTTACCAAGAATACAGTCTTCTCTCTTTAATCATTTCTCTATACCTGCCTTCAGAGTAGTCTTCCTAAATGCAAATTTGATCAAGTCAATTCTCTGCTTAAAACCCTTCAAAATCCAGCTCCTGGACTTTAAGTCCAAACTTCTCAAACTGGCCTACAAGGCCTTTCATATTATATACCCTGATTACCTCTCCTCAACCTTTATCTTTTATCATATTCTCTTTCAGGTATTCCAACCAACTAAACTACTTAAAATTCCTGTGCAGGGAACAAAAACTCTCTCACATTCCATCTTTAAATCTTCTATCCCCTCTTCCTAAAACACCCCCACCCCCCTCTCTCAAGTTTTCCCTCAACTAACTAAAATTCTCATGCTTCGAATCTCAACATAGATGTAATTTCCTTCACAGATACTTCTCTGAGACCACATGTTAGGTGTCCTTCTTATGGAATTGCCACATTTTATTTCCAATATATTATAATTGCCTTTTTAATTAATCTCATTAGACTGAAAGCCCCAAGAGGACAGTAACTATGTCTTCCCAGTTCATAGTTGTTTCCAGTATCTAGCATACCATAGTGCACAATAAATATGTTTGAGTGATTGTTAAACACAAGTCTTACACTTATGATTTAATAATCACTTTCATGCTCAAACATTAGTCATATGTAGAAAAAATAGGTTATAGTTTTTAAAAAGCTAGGGCTGCCCTGAAGAAACATCTATTTCTATAGTATAACCTGGAATAGATTTTCCCATAGAAAAAAATTTTTAACGTCCATTGAGTTCTATGCTACTATTTTATGAGGTGTTCTACAAACATCACTGTTTCTAAGGAAAATGTGTTCCAGTTTCCAAATAATCAATATATATACTTTGGGAACACAAACTATAATTATGAGAACTGCCTAAAATTATAATTAAGAGACTTCACTAATAATAGAAACAAACTGAAAATAACATTGAATAAAAAGTATTTCGGGGCGCCTGGGTGGCTCAGTCGTTAAGTGTCTGCCTTCGGCTCAGGTCATGATCTCAGGGTCCTGGGATTGAGCCCCGCATTGGGCTCCCTGCTCAGCGGGGAGCCTGCTTCTCCCTCTCCTGCTCCCTCTGCTTGTGTTCCCTCTCTCGCTGTGTTTCTGTCAAATAAATAAATAAAATCTTTAAAAAATAAAAATAAAAAAATAAAATATAAAAAGTATTTCAAGTAGGAACTTAAATTGAAATAATTTCACATATCTCTTAAAGACAATTCTGCATTTGCCATACTTAGAAAATGTATTGTTAAAATCTGTGTGTAAAATTCTATTAATGAAATGACTCTTTTAAATAAATATTTTATTACTGTCCCATACACTCGACACATATTAACAGGAAGCGGCATGCATTTTCTAATGTATCTCAATAGGTAGAGAACAATTAAAAGACAGTTCTAGGAGACTGGCAGTTGGCATTTAAAATTATATAGATCACAATGGATCTATAATTCCATGTAATACACTTTTGGAAAACTGGTCTAAGTAAACCAAGAAACATTCAGGAGGTGATATTGTCTAATAATAATTTCTAGAGGATATTTCAGGACATTTTCAGAGGCATGTACAACTCTCTAACAGATCAGATTTATATAAATGGTAGTTTCTATTCTTATGCTCTATCAAATCAAATTCTTATGCTGTATTCTTATGCTGTAAGAACATACTATGAAAAATAAAAGTGCTTTATTTTACTTTAGTTTCTCTTAATTTTACCCTCTTTTTAGTTTTTAAATTCATCATTACTCCTGAAATCATAAAGTTTAGACTATATAAATACATAGAGGTAAAGTATAGGTTACTAATTCAGGTAGTATTAATTTCAACTATGAAAAGTATTTGTTAAGTAAATGATTATGTTAAGTATAGGTTACTAATTCAGGTAGTATTAATTTCAACTATGAAAAGTATTTGTTAAGTAAAAGTGGTGAAATACTGGATCTATTTAGATAATGAACTTCTTAATTAGCAGCATTCAACTGAAAACAAATAATACATATATCACTATTGGTACTAATATTAAATTTGTATAAATGTTCTATAATTCAATCTCTCAAGTTTATTTACATTTTTGTCAATATCCTAAGAAAATTATGAAAGCAAGCATTAAGTTCAGCCCTATTTACCACTTTTATAGAAGTCAGGTTATAGTGGTAAAACTTTTCCCAAATAGCTACAGAATTAAATAATTTTGGGGGAGACATAATTCTATGTTTTTAAAATACACATATAGAACATTAAAACATGTATCAGTAAAATAGCGCATACTAATTATAATTGTAAATGAAAGCTCTAAGTCAATATTAGTGTGTAACTATCATACTAGTTCTTCAATACTGTCATCAGTCATTTAGTAGCCACTCTATGGAAAGCACCAAAATAAGCCAAGTTTAAAGAAAAATAAAGGAGCAGTGACCAAAGATTTTGCCCTGGGGCGGTTCTTAATCTAATCAGGGAAGAAGAATTATCAATAACAAAAGACCCATTAGGACATAATACAAAAGGAATATTGTAACAAGAATATAATTAGTAACAACTTTCCTATACATACAGGCACACTGAAACATTAAAAATAGGGAATAGTAGATTTATTATAAAGACCAGCCTCTTTTAAATAGGTTGTTTTAATCAGAGTTCTGGAGAATAATTATGTAACTCAGAATATATATATGAAAATGAGCCAGCCTCAAGTTAAACATATCTTATTAAGGACCTAATATGCACGGAGCATAAACATTTATTAAAGAAAATTTGTTTTTCTGATTAACACAGTGACCAGGAGAATTATTCGTTTACATACAAAAAGATGGCTTGGAATTCCATTACGTCTTATATGTGCATAAACTTAAGTATCAGCGCCAAAGTCAAAGTGGTAATTACTATTAACCACATATCCAAATAGCTGTATTATGTCACAACATAAAAAATATTGATAAGTTAATTCTCTTTAGAACCCTGAATAATATGTTAGTCAGGCAAGTGAAGAATGAGCTACCAGCAATAAAAAATATGTGAACTTATCATGATTATTTTTACCTAAAACTAAATGTGATCACAATCCACTTGCCATTCCCATTGGAAGTGGCTATACTAAGAACAGCTACAAAAAAAGGTGATTTCCATTTATGACTTTTAGAATAAGGCTTAGTATTTTAACATCAAATTTTACATACATAACCCTTAATTATTCAGAAACCCGTAAGTATTCGGGAAGTCTAAAATTAGAATATGTTAATATTACAATATTTTTAGAAGTCTTTACAGTTTTAAATTATTTTAGCTAAACTTTTCACTCAAATTAATCATAAATTAGCTATAAATGTTTCAAATAACTCTGTAATTTGACATGCTTTACATAACCATATGAAATACTCAAGCCAAATAAAGTGGTATTTAAGTTCAAACTTACAGCTCAATTGCCTTGTTCCACATGATAACATATCCAGAAAGAATGAAAGATTCAATATTTACAATATGTGTATTTCCTCTTTCTGTTCCAACATAGAGCCATTTACTCTGGAAAGGTAGATGACAGTAAGTAATTCTGAAAGAAAGAAAATTACAATTAAAATATCTAAATTTTATGTTTGGTCAGCATTATATTTTCCTTATATTTATTAGGTAGTGATAGCTATATAAACAACAAAATTTACTATATACTCAAGTAGCATTTAGGTATTAGTAGAGGGTAGAGGATAAATAACAAGAGTATACCATTAAAAACAATAATGATAATAATGACCACTAATAAATAATTGTCTACCATGGGCATTAACATATATTGTTTCTAATTCTTTCCAGAATTAGAGCACTCCAAGATAGATATAAATTCTATTTTCTGAAGAGGAAACTGAGGCCAAGAACTTTTATTTTTACTTTCATTGGACTGACAGCTAGTAAGTGGCAAAACCAGGATTCAAATCCATTTCTGTTTGGTTGCAAAATTAGCAACTTTCTACACTGGTGGTTTTTCTTTGGTAATACTCACTTCAAATAGAAATTAGGTACATGTGAAACATACATTTCATAGTTATCATAGAAATTGTAGCTTTTTTTATATAAGATCATGAATTATTTACTTTTTATTCAGATGGTTGGCGTCTTAGTAGTATAAAGAAAGCTTATAAGATAAGGGATCTACTCTACTATTCCTTTATTTTTTTTTTTTTTGTTCTGCCTTTATTTGCACAATGGGCCTTCTGACCAATTCTGGGAAATTATTCTATAGCCAAAGAAACCATGATTCCTATAAATGAAATCTGGGAATTTACCAGAATCTTCTATTCACCAAGTATCACTCTTTTTAGTTTTGCCTACTCCCACTCCTTTTAAATGCTCATAAAGAAAGGGGGGGGGAGATAAGTTCACAGTTATCCCTTGCCAGAATCTGTTATTGAATCATATTTGCTAGAATTTATTCAGAAAAAGCGCTGGTAAATTATTAGAAGAGGAGGACAGAATTCTGATGCCAGGCAGACAGACCAATATGGGGAAAAAAGGGGGGGGAACGTAAATGGTAAATTCCTAACAAAATTCCACCTTGTACCTCTTTTTATATAAGAGTGAACATCCAGTGTGTCGAATTTATATTCTCATTGTGGTTCATTGAATTATTCAATAGTCTACCTTTCTAAACCAAACTTCATTTATTCAAAAGTATTCTGCTGAAAGCCCCTTGCACATTACAACAAGAAAACTAGAAATCTTGATATTACTTAAAGCACTTACAGTTAATTGAAGATCTAATTAAAGTGTGACCTATATGGTGTTGGACAATTCTGATTAAAACCTAAAGTCTAGGATCGCTGTTGCCAAGGGATATTTAATAATGTCCCACGGGAAATAACTTGATAGTCATGTTTCTAGGCCATGAAGCATCTATTTTCAATTCAGTGTAAGTAGAAAAAGGAAACTCATTTTAAATAGGATTTAAGATCACCTTTTCTGAATCACAAAAAGAGTAGAAAAAAAAACTAGTCCCAATAAAGTAGACAAAAATTTAGGAGTTCAGGTAGAAAAAGAGCAAACTTCAATATGACATAGTCATTTCCAAGGTTGAGAAGAAAAGTCTAAAAACTGCCAGGTTTCAGTAATGAGACCTGAAGCAAGAGGAAGAATTCCAATAAAGACAATCTTTACAGGGGAATGATGAAATACATGAAAAAGATCCAAATAGGATTAGAAGCTGTATCAAATAGAAATGGAAGGAAAACTTCCAAACTCTTTTTATGAGGCCAGCATTACCTTGATCCCCAAACCAGACAAAGACCCCTTTAAAAAGGAGAACTACAAACTGAGGGTTCTAGAGGGGAGGGGGGTGGGGGGATGGGTTAGCCTGGTGATGGGTATTAAAGTGGGCACATACTGCATGGAGCACTGGGTGTTATACGCAAACAATGAATCATAGAACACTACATCAAAAACTCATGATGTAATGTATGGTGATTGACATAACATAATAAAATAAATTAAAAAAAAAAAAGGAGAACTACAAACCAATATCCCTGATAAAATGGATGCAAAAATTCTCACCAAAATATTAGCCAATAGGATCCAACAGTACATTAAAAGGATTATTCACCATGAACAAATGGGATTTATTCCTGGGCTGCAAGGGTGGTTCAACATCCACAATCAATTAATACATTAATAAAAGAAAGAACAAGAGCCATATGATCCTCTCAATAGATGCAGAAAAAGCATTTGTCAAAGTACAGCATCCTTTCTTGATCAAAATTCTTCAGAGTATAGGCATAGAGGTTACATACCTCAATATCATAAAAGCCATCTATGGAAAACCCACAGTGAATATCATTCTCAATGGGGAAAATCTGAGAGCTTTCCCCCTAAGGTCAGGAATGGCAGGGATGTCCACTATCACCACTGCAGTTCAACATAGTACTAGAAGTCATAGCCTCAGCAATCAGACAACAAAAAGAAATAAAAGGCATCCGAATCGTCAAGAAGAAGTGAAACTCTCACTCTTTGCAGATGATATGATACTTTATGTGGAAAACCCAAAAGACTCCACCCCAAAACTGCTAGAACTCATACAGGAATTCAGTAAAGTGGCAGGATATAAAATCAATGCACAGAAGTCAGTGGCATTCCTATACACCAACAACAAGACAGAAGAAAGAGAAATTAAGGAGTCGATCCCATTTACAATTGCACCCAAAACCATAAGATACCTAGGAATAAATCTAACCAAAGACACAAAGGATCTGTACTCAGAAAACTACAAAATACTCATGAAAGAAATTGAGGAAGACACAAAGAAATGGAAAAATGTCCCATGCTCATGGATTGGAAGAACAAATATTGTGAAAATGTCTATGCTACCTAGAGCAGTCTACACATTTAATGCAATCCCTATCAAAATACCATCCACTTTTTTCAAAGAAATGGAACAAATAATCCTAAAATTTGTATGGAACCAGAAAAGACCCCGAATAGCCAGAGAAATGCTGAAAAAGAAAAGCAAAGCTGGTGGCATCACAATTCCGGACTTCAAGCTCTATTACAAAGTTGTGATCATCGAGACAGTATGGTACTGGCACAAAAACAGACACATAGATCAATGGAACAGAATAGAGAGCCCAGAAATGGACCCTCAGCTCTATGGTCAACTGATCTTTGACAAAGCAGGAAAGAATGTCCAGTGGAAAAAATACAGTCTCTTCAACAAATGGTGTTGGGAAAATTGGACAGCCACATGCAGAAGAATGAAACTGGACCATTTCCTTACACCACACACAAAAATAGACTCAAAATGGATGAAAGACCTAAATGTGAGACAGGAGTCCATCAAAATCCTTGAGGAGAACACAGGCAGCAACCTCTTTGATCTCAGCCACAGCAACTTCTACCTAGAAACATTGCCAAAGGCAAGGGAAGCAAGGGCAAAAATGAACTATTGGGACTTCATCAAGATAAAAAGCTTTTGCACAGCACAGGAAATGGTCAATGAAACCAAAAGACAGCTGAGGGAATGGGAGAAGATATTGCAAATGACATATCACATAAAGAGCTAGTATCCAAAATCTATAAAGAACTTATCAAACTCAACACCCAAAGAACAAATAATCCAATCAAGAAATGGGCAAAAGACATGAGCAGACATTTCTGCAAAGAAGACATCCAAATGGTCAACAAACACATGAAAAAGTGTTCAACATCACTCGGCACCAGGGAAATACAAATCAAAACCTCAATGGGACCACCTCACACCAGTCAGAATGGCTAAAATTAACAAGTCAGGAAACGATGGATGTTGGTGGGGATGTGGAGAAAGGGGAACCCTCCTACACATTGGTGGGAATGCAAGCTGGTGCAGCCACTCTGGAAAACAGTATGGAGGTTCCTCAAAAAGTTGAAAATAGAGCTACCATATTTTCCAGCAATTGCACTACTGGGTATTTACCCCAAAGATACAAATGTAGGGATCCAAAGGGGCACATGAACCCCAATGTTTATAGCAGCAATGTCCACAACAGTCAAACTATGCAAAGAGCCTAGATGTCCATCAACAGATGAATGGATAAAGAAGATGTGGTATATATATACAATGGGATACTATGCAGCCATCAAAAAAAAAATCTTGCCATTTGCAATGATGTGATGGAGCTAGAGGGTATGATGCTAAGTGAAATAAGTCAATCAGAGAAAGACAAGTATCATATGATCTTACTGATATGAGGAATTTGAGAAACAAGACAGAGGATCATTGGGGAAGAGAGGGAAAAATGAAACAAGACAAAACCGGAGAGGGAGACAAACCATAAGAGACTCTTAATCTCAGGAAACAAACTGAGGGTTGCTGGAGTGGAGGGGGGTAAGAGCGATGGGGTGGCTGGGTGATGGACATTGGGGAGGGTAGGTACTATGGTGAGCACTGTGAATTGTGTAAGACTGATGAATCACAACACTGTACTCCTGAAATAAATAATACATTATATGTTAATAAAAAAATTTTTTTAAAGTATTCCTTGAACCAATACTGTGAAATTTTACCTCATTCTTACTGACAAGAAACTAGACCCTTGATAACATACGGGTTTCATCTTATGTCCCATGTCCAACTGATGGGTAGTGGTTAAACAACTAATGAAGAAAGACCCCAGACTTTATTTGAATCCAAAAAAAAGAGTAATGGGATTTACTTAAGATGCTTAACAAGGGTGAGGGAGAGGGCATGATTATACTTATGCTATATATTTGATAGCCCTAATAAGTCACTAATCAATACTTTATTGAATTTAATTTAATAGCTATACTTTTATTTGTAATGCATTTCTACCACTATCACCTGCAAACTGAAGAATTCTCTGTTATATAGGAACCCTGGAAAAATAATCTTGTTCCTATGTCTATATTCACTATCATTCTCTATAGTAAATCATCTAAGACATTGTAAGTCTTCTGTCCATTTATCCATTAATTCAAACTTCACCAAATAATTCATTATAAAAGCACTGTCCTTGATTACAACACATCTACTCTTTTTCCCTAAAAAAAAAATGCCATCCAATAGGAGAGACAAGA